AGATTTTGCGCGTTTTTGACCGAAATGGAGTTTTGGTCCTTAAAGCACCAATGGATGCCAATAGAACTTTCAAGATAGCTTTGAAAGTGATGGAGCATAGGTGTTTAGCTACAGAGGCAAGTCTTGAAGAGTGGTTGTGGCATTACCGTCTTGGGCACCTCAATTTTCGAGACCTTGACATGTTGCAAAAGCACGGTATGGTGACCGAGCTGCCAAAGATTATGATTCCAGCTGAGTTGTGTGATGAATGTGTTCAAGGAAAGCAACACAAGGCTGCATTTAGCAAGGATGCGGGTCATAGGACCAAGTGCCACCTTGAGGTGGTGTATTCGGATGTTTGCGGACCGATGCAAGTCAATTCGTATGGAGGAAATAGGTACTTTGTGACGTTCATTGATGATTTCAGTAGAAAGTTGTGGATTTATCTCTTCAAGAGAAAGGATGAGGTATTCGATGTATTCAAGCGTTTCAAATCCATGGCGGAGCAGCAATGTGGTCACAAGTTGAAAATTCTCAAGACCGATGGTGGAGGTGAGTATACCTCAAATGAGTTTGGGAATTATTGTGATGATGAAGGTATAGTGCGTAAGATTGTGCCACCTTATACGCCTCAGCAAAATGGTATTGCCGAGAGGAAAAATCGATCGATAATGAACATGGTTCATTGTATGCTAAGAAGCAAGAACTTGCCGAAAGAATTGTGGGGTGAAGCCGTTTCAACCGCCGCCTATTTTTTGAATAGGTGCCCTACAAAGAAGCTTGACAAGGTGACACCAGAAGAGGTATGGTCTGGTCACAAACCAAGCTTAAGTCATTTGAGATTTTTCGGTTCGATTGCATTTCGACACATTTCGGGTCAACTTCGAAGAAAGTTGGATGATAAGGGTGAGATGATGTTACTTATTGGTTACCACCCTACCGGAGGCTACAAATTGTTTGATGTCAGTAGCAAGAAGATTGTGATAAGTCGAGATATCGTAATCGATGAGTTGAGGCTGTTTGATAGCAAGAAAAGTCAGATTTCAGTAGCAGAAATCGGTTTCCCAGAAATAGGAAACCGGTTTCCCCCTGTTTCTGCTGAACATGAAACTGGGATTTTCGAAGAAGAAACCGATTTCCCAGATAATGGAAACCGGTTTCCAGCTAAAAATGCAGTTTTTCAGGAAACAACAGAGGCTATGCAGCAGCCACCTTCAATGTTCGAAAATGCCGAAAACACATAAAACAACAAGAGACCAACTAGGCAAAGGGGATTGCCTCAAAGGCTCCAAAATTGTGAAGTGTTCCATGATAATGAGATCAATAAGGATGGCGATCTCATACACTTTGCACTTATAGACGAATTCGAACCCTTGAGTACGGAGGAGGCACTAAGTGATCCAAAGTGGGTATGCGCTATGAAGGAAGAACTGGAATCGATTGAGAAGAACAATACTTGGGAGTTGGTCGACTTGCCGGAAAGGGAGAAGCCAATCGGTGTGAAATGGGTCTATAAGGTGAAAGTGAATCCTAAAGGCCAAATAGTCAAGCATAAGGCTCGACTTGTGGCAAAAGGATTTTTGTAACGTGAAGGCATAAACTATGAAGAAGTATTTGCACTGGTAGCTCGAATAGAGACCATCCGGCTTGTTGTTGCTATTGCGAATAGTAACAATTGGCCGCTTTATCAAATGGACGTGAAATCCGCCTTCTTGAATGGTCCTCTTGAAAAAGAAGTGTATGTGGGGCAGCCACCCGGTTTTGTTGTGAATAATCAAGAGGATAGGATTTATAAGTTGAGAAAATCACTCTATGGTTTGAAACAAGCTCCAAGAGCTTGGAACAAACGCATAGATGGGTTCTTACTACATGTTGGCTTCAAGAAGTGTGCATCCAAACATGGTGTCTATGTGAAGAGGGATGCAAGCGAAGATGCAATTATTATTTGCCTATATGTGGATAATTTGTTGATTACGGGCAGCAATGAAGCAAAGGTCTCAAAGTTTAAAGGAGAGCTTATGGAAGAATTTGAGATGTGTGACCTTGGTGTGATGCAATACTTCCTTGGCATAGAGTTCCATAGATCAAAAGTGGGGCTGCTTATGCATCAAAGGAAGTATACACTTGAGATACTAAAAAGGTGTGAAATGGAGCATTGTAATGCGGAAATTACACCAATGGAAGCAAGGTTGCAGCTGTCCAAGAGTGAGGATGAACAACATGTGGATCCGACTCAATATAGGAGGTTGATTGGATCACTAAGGTACTTATGCAATACCCGGCCAGATTTGGCGTTTAGTGTCGGAATTGCAAGTAGGTTCATGGAGAGGCCTAAGGTATCACACTTGGATGCAATCAAGAGGATCCTAAGATACATCAAAGGAACTCTTGGTTGTGGAATACTCTTTTGCGCAACGGATAATGGCGATAAATGCGAATTACTTGGTTATACTGATTCTAGTTGGTGCGGAGATAAGGATGATAGGAAGTCAACGGCCGACTATCTCTTTATGTTCGGAGGAACACTAATCTCTTGGTGTTCTAAAATGGAACCGGTGGTAGCACTCTCTTCTTGCGAGGCTGAGTATGTAGTTGTGTCATTGTGTGTGTGCCAAGCGGTGTGGCTTACAAACCTATTGAGAGAATTGGACAGCAGCTTTGAAAGTGTTGTCACATTGATGGTTGATAGCATTTCGGCCATCAATCTAGCCAAGAATCCCATTGCACATGGGAGAAGTAAACATAATGAAATGCGCTTTCACTACCTAAGGGATCTGGTGTGTGCTGGGCAGTTGAGGTTAGCCTACTGCAGAAGTGAAGAACAAATTGCGGATTTGTTGACAAAAGCGGTTTCAAATGATGTGTTCAAGCGGCTATTGAGGAGTTTAAACATGAGAAATGTGGAGCATTTATCTTAAGGTGGTGTGTTGTTGTTTGAGTAAGATAAATGCAAGGGAATAAATCTCAGAAGCTGGTTTGAAGAAACAGCTTAAATGGATGAGCTGGTTGAAGGCTGCATCAGTTTTGACAGTTGTAACAGTTTGTTTGTTTGTTTTTGTTTGTTACATGTTTAGCACTATATAAGGGAATGTATGGTAGTGTGTAACAACCAATATACCATTGTGAATAAAGTTTCTCAATTCTCCTCAATTATCTCTCTCTCTCTCTCTCTCTCTCTCTCTCTCTCTCTCTCTCTCTCTCTTTCTCTCTCTCTCTCTTTCTCTCAATTTCATCTCCATCTTTCCCATTTTCCCTTTCCACCATTTTTATCCACCCTCCATTGTTTGTGTTCTAACATTTATAAAATAAGTGTTTGAGAACTAGGGTGTTACATTCCTCATTCTTCACATTTATACATGACTTTTCAATTTCTGTCACACACTCGCATGTGAATAAAGTGTCTCCTCTTTCTTTTGCAAAATTGTTAATTCAATGGTTTTTTAATTCGAAAGTTTTGTGAGTCATGATTTAAACATTAAAAAATAGAGTCACTAACTAAGATAATGACGTTTTCTCATTGGTAATTAAGGTTTTGTGATTTAGATTTTTTTTTTCATAATTGATTGAAGAGTTTTGATAGGATTTTATTGCATAAATTGTTTACTCCCAATTTTGTTAGTAATTATATGTTTCTTCCTCTCCATAAGTACCATTTATATTTACTTAATTTATTACTTATATTTATATATATGATTATAACTATTTATTAAAATTTAACATTTCACATCCTTTAAATTAGGGTGTTGGATCCGCCTTAGATTGTATACACTTACAATTATAAAAAAAAAAATATTATTAAAAAAAAAAACTAGACTTGCACTTCTATCTACTAGATCTAGTAAAAAAAAGAGAGCATCTATCATATTGAATCCGATATAAAATTTGTAGACAACCATTTGGTTTGGGTGATTTTTTAGGGGATGCGAAGGGAGATGAGAAAATATTTTAAATGAAATGTTTGATTTAATTTTTTTTATGTGGGGAGAGGAAGGAAGGAGAATGAAGGTAATCCAAATCTTTTTTTAAAGTAATTTTTTGTTCTCTCTAAATTGAGGTTGTTTTGAAAAAGATGAATTATAATAATATCGATATGATTATCTTAATTTTTTATTATAATTTTAATTTGTCTATGTTCATTTGTCTCATTATAATTTCTCTATTTTTTAATAAAAACTTAATTATTTTTATTATTATGATTCAACATCCTTTATTTTTTTGTGTTATTTATTATTTTATTTGTAATAACTTAATTTATTTTATAAATTGGGTTGTATTACATTTCATATATAATTCTAGAAAAAATTATATATTATCTAGAATATAATTTTATAAATATTTTATTGGATTAGTAAATCATCAAGATGATAAAATAATTCATTTAAGAATTGATCATATAATAATTTAATAATATTTATCAATATTTTAATTACACTTTAATATATTTTAGAGTATTTAAAATATTAAATATTTTGTGTTTGATTATTTATGTTTCTATAAATTAACAAACTTATATTTTTTGGGGAATATTATTTTATTTTAATTTTATTTAGGAAGAGTATTATAATATTTTAAGAATGAAAAGTAAAATAGTTTTAAAATCTCCACTCCTAAACCAAATATATTTTGATTAAACTTCTCCCTCTCAAATTATATTTTTATGTCTCTTCTATTAAAATATATATTTTTTTCAACATACAAATATTTTTTAACAAAGTTGTTTTTGAAGAACTTAATAATAACATGATTAAAATTTAAAATCTTGACCCACCAAACCCTAGGAAGAAGTTTACTTTTCGCGGGCATACAAAAGTAGCATCACAAAAATATTACTTCACATTTTATTATTAAATATAAATCCATTCTACCGTATCATTCATTCTTCCGAAATTCCGATAACCAATGTATTACTATGTCAAGAAAAACTTAATGCATTTCTTGAAGCAAATATTAGAAGAAAAAAAAAATCTAATATTGTAAGATGGTAAAAATGGGAATGAATTCATAGAAGCCACAAGTAAATATCAGTCTTCATATTCTGTTTCCTCATCATCATCTTCGTTGTTTCCAGCATATCTCCAACCATCTTCAACATTGTCCCGATCCTCCTCGGTTTCTTCACTGTCCTCATCGTAAGTTTCTTCTTTCACAGGCCAAGGTTTTTTAACCATGTTTAAAGGGGCAGGAGTGGGATTGGACCCTTTTCGTTGGGGAACTTTGGAAGGAGGCGCTTTCACATTTGGCTTAGGCCTATTCTGCTTCTGACTTTTACCATTGGACTGTTTTCCACCATAAGCATCTTGATCACTTGCTTCATCCATTTCATTGTTGGCATTTTCAGTATTTTCATCAATGTGGCCGGGATGCGCCCTCCTGAAATGCAGTCTAAGCTTGTAAACATGTATGTACGCTTTTTCACACCCATCATAAGGACATGCATATGGGCGATCAGAGGATGCCGAGCCATATGCTGCCCCAGAAGGTTTAGCTGTTCTTGTTTGCTTTTCTGATTGTGGAGTAGCATACTTTGTCACCTCCATTGGTGTTGGTGTACTCTGCAATGAGGTTGAAATTGTCAATCAAAAATTGCTTGAGGTGATACTTCACATTCACAGCACTTATTCATACACATTAACTTCTTCCACAAGTGAAGTTAGCAAGGACTTGACTCGTAAACATAACTACTTCCTAATTATAAGCCCCCTTTGAAAAAAGATTGTCCCTAAACTTAAGCCTCACTGCAAATTATATAGACACGCACCAAATGTAATACTAACCAACCTTTTCATGATGAGAAGTAATGTGATTCTTCAGCTTGTATTCATGGGCGTATCTCTTCCCACAATCAGGGTATGGGCAAATATGATAGTTCTCTTGTGAATGTGTCTTCATGTGAGACCTCAGGTTAAAATCCAAGGAGAAGGCCTGTATATTGCACAAGCAAATCTTAGATTCACCCATGAATAATATAATTAGAATGGATCCAGACAACATGATACTAAAGTTATCATTTCGGAATACAAAGTTGATTTTTTGAAAATGATCCAATACCATAAAGAAGGTTTGAATAACTGTATCAAGTCATGAACTAACTTAATCCCAGATTCATCCATGGAGCTGTTAAGTTAAGAGATTCATATTGAGATAGACTCTTCAACTCACAGACCATGGTGACCATGGTAACAATGATTACAGTAATAATACAGTCATCCACCAAAATATATTCGATGTACATTGCTTTGCTTCTAAATAACAATTTCCAAATCTGTTGATTATCATCTAGATCAGCAGTCAAAGTAATCTACTACTGAACAGTCATGTACCTCATTACCTGCCGAACTCTAGTGCTCAAATATTTGATCATTCCAATGGAAGAAAGAATAGATCGATAGTTAGGTTTATAGTGCACAATAACAAAAAATGTAATTGCTGATATTATGATTGAATATGCCAAACATGAAGCTTATTAAAAGTACAAACATGCAAACCTTAGAGATCAATAAACAAGAAAAATGGATAGATTTATCACCTTACCACAGCCTTCATGAGGACACACAAAATCCCTCTCCCCTGTATGAATAAGGAAATGTCTTTTTAACTTTGAGCTGTCCAAAAATTTCTGCAACAGAAACAAAATATTCTTAGCATTTTCTAAAAAGACCTGACATTTGGCAAACTCAAGATCTGTAAATTGAGACAGTATTAGATAGAAAAAACTTTTTTATGGAACTTAATAGAAAATTTCATGAGAATATGTCTGGAGCAGTTATAGGTTACAGTTTACAACCATACAACATAACATACAACATAACATGCATACATGTGTGAGTAATGTAACTAAATAGACCTCATATTAGGAAAAATAAAAACTAGGACAGGAATAGAGGTGAATATAGGCATGGCATTATATAAATGAAAAAAAATATTATTATGAAGCTTCAAAAAACTGTTGAGGGTACGTTTGGGACTTGAATATTTTTGAGTTTTGGAGGGGGCCGGCTTTTGAGGGCTAAATAGTAAATCTATATTTTGATATTTTAAAACAGGCTTATGCTAACTTGGGTCCTAAGGACACATATTAAGAATTCCCCCAAATAGTAAATATGTCTTGAAAAAAAAGTAATTTTTAATTTTTTAAGAAATAGAATGTGCAAACTACAATATAAATTTTCTATCTTTAGCACACTAACAAATGCCCCAAGGGCTGCTGTTAGTATTTCCCTTTAAAAATTCGAAATAATACCATCATAAATGGTCATATGATACTTCAATCATTCACACATAATTCATTTTAAAATACAGTTTAGAGTCTTTTATTTTAAAAAGAGAAGTAAACCCTCCATCCACACATCTAATTATCTGCAATGAACCTAGTGTGTTACAACCATACAGCCTAACATGCATATGTGCAGTTGTGAGTGTGTGGATCTGAAGTAACAGATTCATTACCTTTCCACATCCATCATAATGGCAAACAAATTGCCTCTCTCCGTGGATGTGAGAATGCTTCCTCAAAGCACCCGCATCTATAAATGTCTTTCCGCAGCCTTCGTAGCTGCAAAGAAAAAGTACTTCAGTAGTTGGCTCGGGTTCTGGCTCAGGCGCTAGAGGTTCATTTTCCTTTTCTTTCAAGGCCTTTACGGCATCCTCTAAAGAAAACAAAATACGGAAAATTGTTAACACAGAACAATGATAAATAAAATAACATACAATATAATAGTCCCTTGGATGCAAACCAAGCTTGCTTAACCTTCAATTCTTCATTTCTCTATAACCACAAAAAATACATGCTGTATTCATATTTACATCAATACAACCATTCAGAAATGCATAATTTCGCAGATGGTTATAAAAGATAACTGGAAAGCAAGTGCTATCAGAAACATAGAACACAATTGCTAAAGATTTAAAACTATAAACCAATGTGGAATTCAGCACTGTTTACTGTTCATATGAAATACGACATGTAGTAATGATGCCACACACAAGGTAATAGTCTGTTTTGTTAGAGCACCACATCAGCACCAGCAGTTTTAACCAACTCATTCATACATGAAGACTTATTGTTATGAACCAACAATCATGAAATTGAGGACATGATATACATACCAAAAACATTATGAATATTACGGTATCTATTGTCTATTTTCTAATCAGAAGCATTTCAAAACATCACGAACTAGCATTATGAATACCCTGAGGGGAAAATTAAGGGTGTTTGATTGGTGTGAAACAAATCCAACTCATCTAAATCAGAAAAAGAAGAGAGGTCAATCACTTATAGTCCTTTGAGGTCAATCAAAGGCCTTCAAAGTTTTTATCTTCTGTCATAATGTAGGATTTATACAACTAGCTATACCCCGTAACCTAATAAAACACAATAACAGCATAAAATAAACCAGATAAACAGACAACAAGAAAAATTTAACATTGTTAGACAGCAAAAAAGGACTAACCTGTTACCCATTTCAAGAGCATGCACTTCCCACCAGTTGCAACAACATCTTGGGGAACCCTGATAGTAACATTACTCTAATTATTCACACAGTAATATACTAAATTCCAAATTTTAATAAGAAATTCTCAATTCACTGTGTAAATACAACAAATACCAATTCTCTCAGTACGATACCACCAACACAGCACACAACTACGATCAAGCACAAAGTAAAATATGGTAACGAAATTGAGGAAAAGAAACAAAATTGATGAAGGAAAAAGGGATAGTACCATTGTTTGACCCATTTAACTGCAGGAGCCTTGGATTTGAGAAAGGGGCGTCTCTCGAAGAGGCTGTGATTGTAGTGAGTCTCCATTGTTTTGTCACCGAGATTGAAGAATTTTAGGGTTAGGGTTTGAGAAGGGTAGTGAATTGAAGAATTTTAGGGTTAGGGTTTGAAAGGGGTAGTGAATGAAAGAAATTAGGAAGTAGTTCGTTGGAAGATGAAGCTTGGTTCCATTGCATGTTCATGTCGAATTCTTGATTTTCTCTAAACGGGGAGATCGAACCGGTCTAGACCGGACTCGGTTTGCAAAATTCTCAACCGATGTTGTACACTATTTTCAATTATAGGCCCAATTAGAATTTTACACTTGATTTTGCCATAAAAGGACAGTGTAATTACTATTATCACCTTCACTAATTTATTTTGCTAGAATAATATTTATCACTCTAAATATAAAAAATAATTAAAAATCTTGCAAAATAATCAATTTTAATCTTAATTAAAAATCTTACAAAAGGATAGCATGGGAGAAGAGGGTTCGAAACAACCTTTATTGCGCGTTGAATGAAAGTATAATCTCTTAAAACAAATTCAAATTTGAATCTTTGACGTATAGTGATATGACACATTCTATGTGTCATAACTATAGATTTTTTATGAGTAAACACTTTATAAAATGTAATTTTATTGGTTTCTATATACTTATCTCCATACAAAATGGATTCAGATTTGATGATGCTCGTCACATTAACTCTCATATTTTCATTCCTAGAAGTAGTATGAACAACTCCTTTCAACGTCCCTACAAACATAGGAGTAGACATATGGAGCATGAAAATAAATGGTAGGTGACCTAATAGCGAAAATCTAATAGTAGAGGGCTCACTGAATCTTAAACGAAGCTTTAATATCATGTTAAGAAATGTGGTCAAGCCCTACTTAACTTTAAAAACTAGATTGTTGGGTCAGGATTGCCCCCACTTATTAGAACATGTTCAATCAAGTCATATATTGTCTGACGTGAGACTATTAACAACACCATCTCGTCGCCAACCCCAATATTTTACTAGCCCTCATCGTGCAACTAATTAACAACGAAAGTGTATAATGTTTCCTAAAACCATTCATTCAAATTAAAAGTGAATGGAGAATAACCCTAAAGCAATATGTGTAGAGAATAATAAAGGGTCGCAAGCAGATCTATTTATCTTTAATTCAAAGAGAAGTTTGTCCAGACTCGTTAGCAGTCAAAGCATACTTAACCTTAACAAGCTTTCTAGAAGGACTAATCCATAACAAAACATAATCAGTTAAAACATACACAACATTACCAATTCAATCAATAGATAGATATATAGTAATAAACATAACTAAATGTTGTAAGAGAAAACAAGTATTGACTATCTTCCATAATAAATCTCTACAAACAACACAACCTTACGATCACAATCTTAATTAAAAAACCATTAAAAACAATGGACTTTCATACAAACCCTAGTAAAAAAACACTTTTTTTTAAATGTGAATTTTGATGGGCGTATTGTGAATAAATTGAATTAAAACTAAAATCAATTGAGAGAGAGAGAGAGAGAGAGAGAGAGAGAGAGAGAGAGAGAGAGAGAGAGAGAGAGAGAGAGAGAGAGAGAGAGAGAGAGAGAGAGAGAGAGAGAGAGAGAGAGAGAGAGGAACAAGTCTACATGGATGGGCCTTATGCTTCATCTCTTCGCTTGTTATTTATAATCACTAGAGATAGTATATTTAATTGAGGGGTGTAAACATAAATTTTCATTAGAAATAAATTTATGTAATTAGGAATAGTCCTTGATATGTTTTTTTAATGTGATATTTAAGATATTTATTATTATTATAATTAAATTTTACGATAGTTTAAATATTCTTTATTTTAAAATTTTAACTAACCATCAATGTATGTTATTTTTTTACAAACTTTTTAGTTAGATTTAATAGGATATAATATATTTATCAATTTCATTTATGTTATTGAAACTTAGGGGTGGCAAAGCGGGCGACCCATCCCGTTTAGATCCGCTCTATTTAATCCCGTCCAAAAGCGGAGTACGGCCAATTTACGCGTTCGAGCTCAAAAGTCAAGTTTGCCCCGTTTACTAACGTCAGTCTGCCAATTTTTTTTATAATTTAATTTACTATATAATTTAAAAAAATTATTAATCATTACAAAGGAGGCCAACAAATTTTAACAATGCATAGTAAAACTTTAACAAGTCTTAATGCAAATGTCATATTTTTCAACATAAATAAACAATGTAACATAATACCAAAAACTTAAAATAAACACACAAAAACCTCAAAAGTTAAAACTTTATTATCATAATTAGAAACAAACTCCTTTGTGCAAAACTTACCTTATAACTTTAGAACCCGGCTTAAATGACAACGAGTAATAGAAAATAGAAAAGAATGTGTTCTCTATGTTTTGCAATAAAGACTTTTCCTACTATGAGTGAAAATAAAGAACGAAACAGATATTAGTGTCTTCCAAATGAGGTGTTTGTGGTTATGTGAAAACGAATATTAGGGTTTGAAGAAATAAGGGTTATTTTAAAAGTATGTCTACTACTTACCATGTTAATATTGTTTTAATTCCAATTAAAATAAATAATTTTTTTAAACAAAAAGCCCATGGGCAAAACTCGCCCCGCCCCGCCCTCGACCCGTTTTAAAAGTGGGTTAGCCGGGGTGTGCAACATAAGACACCGAGCCGAAAATCTCGCTCTGACCCGCCAAAAATAATGGATTAAACGGGTGGGCCCGACGAGCTCAACCTATTTTTCCACCCCTAGTTGAAACCTATCAAAATACACTTATATAACATGTGAGGTGGGTTTTAAAATTATTAAATTGTAAGTATTTTTATAATTTAGTATGAATAGATCACCAATTTTTTTTCCTGCAATAGTCACTCCTAATATTATGAGGAATCACCAAATTCTCAACAATCCAATCTTGAAATGATAATGGAGAATTTTCTTGCAACGTAAACTCGCTCTAACCTGGAACCTATGATGGAGATTTTTGTGGCAACACAAGCTCTTTAGAATGAAGAGTTTAAAAAATAAAATCCTCATACTAGTGAAGCTCTTAGGTAGATAAACACTATGGTCGAGTCCCTTGTGACTCACAGCAAGGCATTAGAGACCCAAATCTCCCAGTTTACACACATCCCTCTAAGACCTTTCTTGAGGAACATATGAATTGTAACAATCAATAGTGGAAAGCAAGTCAAAAATTTTAGAGAGAATGATAAAGAGATTGAGAAGAATTTTGGTGAGAAAAAGGTAAAGATTAAGGAAAGTCCATCGGCACCACCCGAAAAGGAGGTTGTCGAAGAGGTAGAGAAAGAAACACCTTATTTTACTCCTCCTCCCAATAAGCCACTGATTCTTTTCATGCAAATATCTGTGAAATATAAGGTAGGCACCCAGTCTAATAGCTATGCAAAAATAGTGGAAAAGATTCTTACCAATGTACAATTAACCAAAGTCTTGTCTAAAATGGAGAATTTTAGAGGACCATGAAACTGGGAAAATTATTTATGCTAAGAGAGGAAGATCGACCTTTGAGGTGGGGGATGAATGGATTAAATCCAAACCCAAAAAGTTGATACTCAGGATAGAACTAGAATCACCCCAATAGGTTCAGAAGTATGAACCACTCCATAGGAAGAAGACAAAAAAAAGAGTAGTAGATACGAGAGATAGCTTAAAAAGTGGGCATGATCACCTATTACTAATGAGGGTGAGGTTGAGGAATCATTTTTTAAAGAGCCACCATGAGTGCTTGCATTCATCAACTGTCGAGCTAAAACGACGTTAAAGAAAGCGTTATGTGGGAGGCAACCCACACTTTTCGCACTAATTTTTTTATTTGGTTTTTTCCAGTTAATAAAAAGGCTCGTAAAGGGGAAGCGAAAAAAGTGATAAAAGTTGAGAAAAATCAATAAATAAACTGTGCACGACAAAACCACAAGAAAACCAAATTTCCCATACAAAAACTAGGGAGCTACTACGGACGGCCATAACACCTGCTACGAGTTGTAGTAGCCCCCTCCTCCAAAACACTAAATTTCATCATGCCATATAAAACCCAGGGACTTGTTGCAGGAGGTCGTACAGGTCCCAGTGCCCTAAGGTTCAAATTTTTTAATTTTTATCCCAGTTTTTTTTTGGCTTCACCCACCTTTATCTCACACAATCATGTTTATTAACTCCCCTTTAAACCTTCAAAATCAGAATTTTAGAACCATGTTATCCCAAATCTCTCTCTCTCTCTCTCTCTCTCTCTCTCTCTCTCTCTCTCTCTCTCTCTCTCACACACACACACACACACACACACACACAACTTTCCATCTTCACCATTCTATCATTTTTTTCTCACAACAAACCTCCCAAACCTTCATTAAAACACAAACAAAAGCTTCAATCTTTACCCTTGTTCCACCATCAAATCCAAAGCCAAAATTCTCAAAAAAACTAAATTCGAATTTATCAAATTCCATCAACAATGACACCAAAAAGAAGCGGTAAAGGAAATAAAGTCACCAAATCCTCAAGACCTAAAAAGAGAGGTAGCACTAGAGCCTTAAATCCTCATCACATCGTCTTTGAGAATGACGACCAAGCCAAAGGGTATTCCTCCTTGATCAAGCGGAAGCTCACACCAACAAGAGAAGGGTGACCCCTATTTGTCTAACCATGATGCATGTAACGCTATGGAGGAGGATATTCTCCCACCGCCTACCTATCCTACCCAAAATAAAGTCGGAGCTTCAAATGATAATCAAGATATATAGATGGGGTGGGTGAAATTGGATATTCAAGGCATTAAGGAGGAGCAAACAAGACAAGGCATGGTATTAGATGATATGTAGATGATGTTGAAGAAACTTACATTACGCTTCCCACCTCCCGAGTGAGGTCTTTGTGAGTTCACTCTCTCTTGCCTGCGCTAAAACATTGAGGACAATGTTTGATTCAAGTTTGTGTGTGCGCGCGGGGGTGGGTGGGGGTGAGTGGGTCTTTACTTTACTTTTATTTTTGTTTTTTTCAATA